CCTACCAACAAGCAGACACCCAACAAAGAGTTTGGTGAATCTAAATTCGAATTTTATTTCTGTGAAAAGATTTAAATGCACTTTTTTGCCTCGTGTGTGTGTGTGTATAATTTACAAAAATACAATTCACATTTCCTTTTACATTTCTCAATTGTAGAGATTTTCGGTCATTTTGAAAATCTAAGAACATCTCCAATTATAGAATAAAATAGATCTCCAACTAACCAGTAACCTCTCCAATGAAGAGATGCAAAAGAAATACAAATTGCATTTTTTGACAGAAAATGTAAAAAATATATATATAAATATATATATTTTTTTTAATATCCACAAGAGGCACAAAGTGAACTTTGATATTTCTATTGAACCAAAATTTAAATTTAAATCCACTGAAATGTAAATTAGAATGCAAAAGTAGTTTTGCAAATATCAATTTACACATAATTTTACATCACGATTGAAGATGATCTAAATTACGATTTAAATATATTTTATACCACGAAGATGCTCTATATTCAGCAAATGGGATACGGAAAACACTTCATTTTTAACAAAATTATCGATACGGAAAAATTCATATATGCCTCAATATAAAATAAAATTTCAACTTTACAGATACCAGGTCCACCCTTGCCACGTCAAGCAATGATCCGGCGCGTTTCTACCGGAACATGAGCGGTAGTATAGTTGGATGGAACGCGGGATGTGCTTTCCGGCAAGAGACACAATTGTTCAAGCTCCGGTTATTTGATTTAAACGGCCATTGGGCTATCTATAAGAGCTCGATCGATTTGCCTAAAATAAATATCTGTTTTGAAATGGAATATGTGGAAGGATAGATAAAAGACTGTCTTATAATGTGTTATGATTTCAATATAAGTTGTATTATTCAAGATCAAGCAAAGCAAAGTGCATAAATATGTTCTTTTGTGACTTTCCGTCCCCCCTGTTCTATACAATGAGGGGTTTATTTATACTAATCTAACTGACGGGGTGACTGTTAGATCAAATCCACGTGGCGACACCCCCTAGACTGAAGCCTCACATTAATGTCCAATCTTTACAATTATTGTTTTGTATAAGATCCGTCGTTATTTTGTAGACTGACTCACCGACACACATTAACGCTACAGACACTTTATGACAGATATCACGTCAATCAGTACTGAGAGCTTCGAATCTGCTATGAGGAAACATCTGCGTTAAGTTTAAGTACTTCGATTTTAAGGAGCCTCTGCATTCGCATAAAGGAGCTTCGGACCTAGGAGCCCCTGCATTCACATGAAGGAGCCTCGGACTTAGGAGCCTCTGCCTTTGAACGAAGGAGTTTCGAACTTAAGAGCCTTTGTTGACCTTGCCTGTATTGGCTTATCCATTGACTTTTCAACTAACTTTTTATCCACTTGGCAAAAGGGAATACGTGGCTGTCCACCCGGACTGCTAACAAGGAGCTTCCAATTCTGGGGAGTCACACATACATCGCATTTTTTTCAAATTCATTAACAGATGAACTGTTGTTCTTCTTCCTTTCAATTTTATAAATAACCATTATTAATGAGAAGATAGATGGAACGAGCAAGAACTTTGATCTGAACACAGATAGATCCAAGTTAACTATTTAAACACGGTGGTGAGAAGTTGATTGAAGCATTCAACACGGATTTTGATCTAGTATATCTTTCCTGTATAAGATCATTCTACAGTAGGGTTTTGAGATTTTTTTGGGATCATACACATTGGGGAGGATTTTTTGGGGGAGGTTTTGACTGGAATATGAAGAGGCGTGATTTTAGGGATTATAATTGTGATTAAACTTCACAGGGCATGTTTGGGGAGTAAATTTTGTGACCAATATTACTGTCTATATGAATTATAGGTATTTTTTCACATTTTGATTTTACTGTAAAAATATAGTATTTGTAGTGAAAAAAATGTTAAAAAGTAATAATTGAAAATTAATTAAATAATAGGTATATGATATAATTTCCACTCATCGATAAACATATTCAAAGCTAATAGCCACACGCTCGTTTAATTAATATAATTATATTAAAAAATTGTATTACAGACAGACATGAACTGTTTTCGGAGGTAATACAAGAAAAGAATATTGATGTATGTTACAAACTGAATTATCTAATTTCTGACTTGTCGAAGCAGCAACCGAGAGCAATTCAGTAAGATACCATGGTTTCAAAGCAGTTTAATCCATCCAACTCCGGTGCAAACCGAGCACCCTTTGCCGGCTGTGTTTTCCTTAATTCTTCCGGCTTATTACCACTATCTCTTTGTTCCCCGATGTTTCGTCTTTCCTTAATTAGCTGATTCTTTTGCTTTTGCGAGGGTTCTGGACAAGACACAGACGTCCTGACCAATTGGCCAAGGAATTCAGCAGAGAAGGCATCGAATGAACTGAATATTGAATTCATGGTTTGATCGAGATATTGGTTTCTTGATGAATATTCGAGAAAGGATGGAGGATATACAAGGAGGGATAGTTTCATACCTATTTATATAGGAAGGTGAATATATCCTGAAAGAAAAGAGGAAGGCAACTTCTGAGACGTAATGCATTTGATTTGGCTTTTTTTTACTATAAAATAAGGAAAAGATCCGTCTAAGAAACCGTATCTGACCCTTTCTCATGGCTTGTGGATAGTGGTCAACTTTAGCCGCCATTTGACCATTCCAATACAAATACCGAGTCAATTTTCTTTGCTGCAACCTCTGCCGTTTAAAATTAGATTTTAGTTAGTGTTTGGTAGGGATTAAAATTAAATTTTTAGTAGGTTATGATAGAAGTTTTTGAAATGCGTGGTTGAAAAGTTGTGGGACCCATGAAAGAAGTTGTTAATATTGATTGTTTGACATTGACTTGAATTAAAATCAAATTTTAATCCGAACCAAACATGAGCTTAATATATTTTGATAGAAATTAATGAAACGTGTGATTGAAAAGTCGCGAGATCCATAAAATATATAGTTAAAATTAATTGTTGATTTTAATTTAAGTTAAACTTTAAAAATTAATCAGTACCAAGCATGACCTTAATTTCCACGCCATTTCTTCTTTTTAGACAAAAGTGCATTAAGAAAAGGAGTTCCAAGTTCAATGGATACTAATGGAATATAAATCAATCCATCATACGCTTGAGAAATTATTAGAATCTATATTGTGTATTAGATCAATAAATTACTGATTAACGAAATTAGTATAATAAAGTCGAATGCTGTCAACTCCGACAATAGGCACGTGATGGCCCGACCCAATTTAACTAGAGTACATGGCATGTTCTCATGTATCAAGTCCAACCAATACTCGACTATGGGAATCCTAATACATTTCAATTAAAGTAATACTATTTAGCACGTTAGTCTAGTGGCACTAATATGATATTAAATGAGAGATAAAGTCGCGTGTTTGGACTGCAGCAGATGGACTGTCGACGTTCCTTGCTGGTGCATAGCTGTAAGGCGAAAGAAAAAAGGGTGGTAGGGTCCACAACATGCAAATGGCTTTGGAGTTCGCAATTAATTAGTTAGGTCGGAAATGGGACAATTGAGGCACGTGAATTGTTTTAGTCACGGGTATGGGATTGTCCAACAAAAACATTTAGCTGTAACACACAAAGGTTTTGTCATAACATAGAGCAGAGGGAGATGGATAAGCTATTAAAAATCAACTTGAATTTGTCCAGTTTTGGTCTTCGATCTAATGTGGTTCGAGAATTTGCGCGTCAGCCGCAATCTTCAATTTATTGTTGCTAACAGCTTGATAATAAAAATATAAATTTTTTTTTTTGCTTTTTAGTAGAAAGTGATGATTACAATTAAGCATGTTTTTAGCACCTATTTTCGGGAAATTATGAAATTTGAAATTGTGATTGATGGAAGAATGTGTAGTTGAAAAGTAATGTGAAGTTTTAAATTTATGTGTAATATTATTTTATTTGGAGAATGTGTAGTTATTATTAAAAAGGAAAAAAATATATAAAAAAAATTAATGGGTGTCGAACACTCTCTTAAGCGTAACGATAACCACTCTTATTTCCAGCAACCCGGCCTATTCTCTCCCAAGGTGTCTCCCTTGCTCGGAGCATCATTTGGGTCTTCGACAATCGCACCACGAGGAAGGTACATCCACTTTCTCGAGGACATCCGACCTCTCCAACAGTATCTTTAAGGTCTGCTTGGGAGTTTTGCGGTAGCCTTTTTGAGCATTTTTAAAGTATTAATTTTGAGCGTTTATAAGCTAACCAAATTTAAGTGATTTTAGTAATGATTTTTAAAATAGACTAACTTATGCTTAGAAGATAATTATCCACTAATTTGGAAAGTTTTTTAAAAGAATAAAATTACGTACAAGTCCCTTAGTGGAATTTTCAGTTTATAATCTTTTTTGTATGAAACTGTTTTTACTCATTAAGTCATATTTTACTTATAAATAAATTTTTTTACATATAAGTTAATATTTAATTTTAAAAAGTTAAATATTTACTTAAAATCTTAAGTTAGTATTTTTTACTTAGAAATAAATTTTACAATTATAAGTTAATTAAGTGCTTTTAAATAATTTTAAACGTAAGTAATTTTTATTTATAATTAACTTTTTGTATTTTATAAGTAAATTTTTGTCTTATTATTAATATTTTTACTTTTTTAAAAAATCTTTACACAAAAGTAATTTTTTATCTTATAAGTAATATAAGTAATTTTTTGCATATAAATAATATTTAGTTAGTATATTTTTATTTACAAGTTAGTTTTGAATAAAATATGTTAGTTAGAAATAATTATTTTATGGATAATGCTAGATGTACATAAACATCTACATAAGGGTATCCATAATGCTGATGTGGCAATCATCCGGTCATTGATGTGTAAGTGTCAAATTTGAATTAAAGGTGGGATCACATGTCAAATCAACATTATGGACACCCTTATGTAGATGCTTATATACCTCTAGCATTATCCTTATTTTATAAGGGTAAAGTTAGAAGAGAGTATTAAAAACGATAAAAAAAAAATGGGGTCGGTTGAGAAAACTGATTAAAATTATACCGTACCATTTTTTTGTGATTTTTAAATAATTCAAAATCGGTGTCCAAAAAAGCTAATAAGTATGGATTTTTTCAACCTTTCATAAATACTGCCACCCAAATAGGTAAAAAAAAAAAAAAACTCTCAAACAGGCCATAAAAAGTACGTAGCTAACCTTCAAAGGAAATGATGATTAGAAGATAACTTGTATATATATATATATATATATATATATATATATTGATTGGTTTACAATTTCTTTAGTTGAACATCTGAAGTCTTTTATAAGAAAATAAGCTCATGAATCGTTACTCTCTTCTTCCTTCTTCTTCGATACTTTGCCATTCTTCTTTATGTGATCAGTCTTATTTTTCATTACCTTATTTTACGTAGATGACGTCTTACACTTATCGGACAATACCTTCATCAAATTCGTTATGGTTTTCTCCATCGCCATATTGTTACCAACGTTCCTCGAAGGTGTTAATCGGATAACAACTAATAACTGAATATCAAGGATATTCCATTCATCGTCCTTCATTCCTTCTGGTTTTTCATTCAAAAGGAGATGGTGCAATTTTTTAATATACGAATAATCCTTGATTTGAATCCTCCAGAATGCAAAATGCATACCGTCAAACTTGTAGATCCCTAACAACGTTTTTCTTCGTCAGTCTTGCTATGAATAAAAAAATTATGATACCAACTGTTGAAAATTAGAAACCTAATTCAATTCTACTGAGAGCAATCAATTCGCACACAAAGAAAAATAGACATTCCAAGCAGGACTATGCTACTTGTACATAATTTCTTGTACATAAGGGTGTCCACCCTCTCACATGGGGTGAACCCCACATGAATANAGTGGGAAGAGCCATTCACGTGACTTGCCCAACATACGTGTGCCGAGCGAGAAAATCCCTGTGATTTGACTACTTGAACTTTCAAATTTAAAGGCTCCGTTCAGTAGGGATTAAAATCCAATTAAAATTGAAAATATGGTCGTTATTAAGTCTCACTCATCTAATAAAAGTCAACAATAACGGCTATTTTTTCAATTTTAATCTGATTTTAATCCCTACCGAACGGGCCCCTAAAAATTTTTATGAATAGTATATAAATATTATGAACTATTATTCAAATTCGAAAATTTTAGATAACCTTAAATAGTTGACAGATCTCTATTCTTAATAGATGCAAACTTGAATTTTTGAATACACAATTTTGTTTATACTCTTATTAAGAAAAATGACATATAATTCAGGATAAACAAAAAAGGAAAGTAAATCTATTTTTATGGGACAGATGGAGTATAAAACTATAGAGAAGAACAATAGATAATAATTTAAATATTTTGATAAGATTAAATAGTTAATAATAATTATCTACTAATATTTACAACATATTTTAATTATATAAAAATATTTAACCTCTCTTCGTTTGAGATTAAAATCAGAATTCTATTAAATTATGATAAAAATTGGTGAAATATTTAATTGAAAAATTATGAATTATATAACATATGTTGTTAAAATAAATGGTTGACTTAACAATGGCTTATAATATTTATAATTTTTTTTATTTTTAAATAATGCTATTCGTGGTTGCTTTCAATCCTACTAGGCAGTTTGTCATGAAATTTTCCAGATACCCCGAAAATCGAGGCGTCATTTTCCGTCTCCAAGAGCAAAATGGGCCCTTTTGACACGCGTCACAATATTAGTGGAGGCAATAACGTAGGATCTACGTGTCCCATTATGTACTGCATCCCGGAACCATAGCTAAAATTAAATCGGGTTAAATATGGAAAGCGTGTAGTGATATTTGGGACCAGTACTCGCTCGGTACCTTATGATATAAAACCGGAAAAGAAACCCGAACCATAATGAAGAAATTAAAATATTGTGGCGATAGAGAAGAAGGCAATAGAACGGAGGCACGTCGAGATCCGGCGAAGGCACGTCGTCGGTTTTCGTCCATTGCATTCACACAGATCTACGCTTCGCATCATTCAACGTCTTCTAGATGAAAGGTTCTTGCACTCTCGTCGCGTCGGTGGTCGCCGCTTCCACCGCTGCGCTGTCCTCACGTGCCGCTGGTGGCCGTGGTGTAACATTCAATTCTTCCTCCCGTCAGGTAATTCTTTGTCTGTCTTGTGTTTGCATTAACAAAAATTTACACGACAATCTTATTTTTTAAGATTTATTTGCTAATTGATTGAGAATTTATGAATTCTTTAATTTACTAACCCGATCTATTTGATTTTTTTTGGAGACTTGTAACATTGTACAATTTCTAACAACTCTATGTTTGTCGTCGGTAATTCTCTCAGAAAAATCTTCGTTTTGTTAGTAAATTTAAATTTATTCATCCTTTTACATTTTCTTTAATTTGTATTAGATCAGCTAGAAGCAATTATTAAATTTGCGCTATCATTTTCTTCTTTGAAGGCTACAGCAACAAA